GGGCGTCGTCGCCCTCCCAGTCGGCCAGCGGGCCTCGCGGCGGCGGCGAGGGCCGCGAGCGGTGCGGCGCGCGGCGTGGCTTTTTTCTTTGGGTCCCGAGGCGGACGGCCTGGCCACGCTGACCAAGGTGATGCAGCAAGGCGCCCCGCCAGCGGCGGCGGCGGCAGCCCTGCGGGGAGGGGGAATGGAAAAGATGGAGGAAGAAGAAGAAGAAGAAGAAGAAGAAGAAGAAGAAGAAGAAGAAGAAGAAAGAGAGGGAGGCGGAGGAGGAAGAGGAGGAGGAGGAGGAGGAGGAGGAGGAGAAGGAGGAGGAGGAGGAGGGGCTGAAAGGGGGGGTGAGAGTGGGGAGGGAGGGAGGGGGGGAGGGAGGGGGGGAGGGAGGAGGAGGAGGAGGAGGAGGAGGAGGAGGAAGGAGAGGAGGAGGAGGAGGAGGAGGAGGAGGAGGAGGAGGAGGAGATGGAGGAGGAGAGGAGGAGGAGAGGAGGAGGAGGAGGGAGGAGGCAGGGGAGGGGGGGAGGGAGGGAGGGGGAGAGGAGGAGGAGGAGGGAGGGGGAGGGAGGGGAGGGAGGGAGGGAGGGGGAGGGAGGGAGGGAGGGAGGGAGGAGGGAGGGAGGGAGGGAGGGAGGGAGGGGGAGGAGGAGGAGGAGGAGGAGGAGGAGGAGGAGGAGGAGGAGGAGGGAGGGGAGGGATGGAGGGAGGGAGGGAGGGAGGGACGGGAAGGAGGGCTGGACAGAGATGCATGGGTTGGTGAGGAAGGAGGAGGAGGAGGAGGAGGAGGAGGAGGAGGAGGAGGAGGAGGAGGAGGAGGGAGGAGGAGGGCGGAGGAGGAGGAGGAGGAGCAGGAGGAGGCGGAGGAGGAGAAGGAGGAGGAGGAGGAGGGGGAGGGGGAGGAGGAGGAGCAGGAGGAGAGATGGAGGAGGAAGGAGAGGGAGGAGGGAAAGAAGGGAGGAGGAATCCCGGGGAGAGGCGGGTGCCCCCGTTGGGGGGGCGAGACCTCGAGCTCCGCCCTCAGGCTTTCGGTGCGCCACCCTGGTGGCCCAGGCCCCCGACCGTCCACGATGAGGGTGGGACGGGGAGGAGGGCCCCAGAAAGGTTGGGAACATAAGGGGGCAAGGTGGGGAGGCACGGCCGGGGCGGGGAGAGGGGAAGGAGGGGGTGGGGGGACTCGGTCAGGTGCGGCGCGAGCGCGGGAGGCGGAGGAGGGAGGAGGGAAGAGGGAAGAAGTTCTTGCATCTTGGAGCTTTTGCAGGTTCTGGGTGCGCTTGGGCAGGCGGGAGGCACGCGGGGTGTCTTGGGGGCCTGGCTGGTGGCCAGAGCGGTCTGGAGTTCTGGAGATGGGAGGTGCCACCTTTTCGTCTTCCTCCTCCTCCCCCTCCTCCGCCTCCTACTCCAACTTCCTGCTCCTCCTCCTCCCCCTCCTCCTCCTCCTCCTCCTCCGCCTTCTCCTCCTCCTCCTCCTCCTCCTCCTCCTCCTCCTCCTCCTCCTCCCCCCGTTTTCCTCCGTAATTCCTCCCTGTCTCGCCCTCAGGCTGGGCGTTTCGCTCGAGGCTGTCTCGCCGGTTCTGACCTTGGAGAGTGAACTGAGCAGCAGTTTAAACGGATGGATGACGGTTCATTTTCAGAGTGGCGCTCTCGATGCAGCGCCGCGCACATCTGTTTTCAACGTGTTTCGGGAACGGCACGGTTGTAGGGCGGTTTCTTTTCAAAGTGGAGCTCTCGCCTTGCCGCGCGGGTCGTTTTCAAAATGTTGGTTGACGCATCCGTACCTCTCACATGTTTTCAGAAGTTGGCAACATCTTCAATGAAGCACGGCGGTTCGTTTTGAACATTGGGCTGGCGTGGTGTCTTGGCAGCGCACATTCTTTTTTGACAGCAGTTTCAGGACAGGACGGTCCCTTCTCATTCAAGGTGGGTTTCTTGTTTCGACGGCGCACATGTTCGATTTCAAGTGTGTAGCAGCATGGACCACCGATTTGTTTCAAAATGAGGCTCTAGCTTTACTGCCGCGCATGTTCGGCTTCACATTTGCAAGCGTTTCAAGGAAGGACGGCGACTATTTTTCAACATTGGGCGTTCGCTTGAGATGAATCAATTTATAGAGGACCCAGAACTTCAACACATGCAGTATGCGCTGGTCGAGGGTGGCTCCTTTTCAGTATGGAGCCATGGCTTGAGACCTCCTCGAACTTCACGACCACGAGTGTAATGTGCAACACAAGTACACGATTACTAGCCGGCCGCTCTGCGGTTGATCGGGAGTTTCTGTATATAGAAGAAGGTGCGTGCGCTTGTTGGCGAGGGTGAGGATGAGGTTCCTCCTCCTCCTCCTCCTCCTCCTCCTCCTCCTCCTCCATCCTTCTCTTGCCTCCGTCTGTCCTCCTCCACCCCACAGCTCCATCATCTTCTCCTCCTCCTCCTCCTCCTCCTCCTCCTCCTCCTCCTCCTCCTCCTCATTCCTCCTCTGGGCACCTCCCCCGGGGCGCGGATCCACCGGATCTGTCCGGATCTGTCCGGAAACGGTGCCGGAGGCCGCTCTGGGCTCCTCTGGGCACCTCCCCCGGGACCGGTTTTGTGAGGATGTCTCAAGCGAGGGCGCCGGTTTGGGATTCGTCGGCGGATCCACCGGATCCAGCGGATCTGTCCGGAAACGGTGCCGGAGGCCGCTCTGGGCTCCATGGGCACCTCCGCCGGTTTGGGATTCGTCGGCGGATCCACCGGATCTGTCCGGAAACGGTGCCGGAGGCCGCTCTGGGCTCCTATGCTCCCCGCGCAGGGGGTGAGGATGACGGTAGTTCCACAGAAACTCCCTCAAATCAAATTACACGGATGGGGGGGCGGTCTTTGTTTTCGAAAGAGGAATGACGTATGACATTTCCTTCAACTGTATGATCCTCGTTGTTCGTATTCTTGCTTCCGCGCCAGAAGGGTCAAAACGAGGCCCTCGCCAGAATGGTAGGTCCGTGTGGCGATGGTCTTTCAAGGGGGGACGTTTCTTGCAGTGGAAAGGCTAAGCTGCAAGGACGTATGGGGAGGGGACTTGGGACGAGGTGGTAGATTACAGCATCGGTGATGCATCTTAGGTTCATCCCTTGTTCCTTCGACATGACTCCTCCCTGTCGCACCCCGATGCCAGTCGGATGGGCCGGGCCGGCGTTTCGCTTGAGACTCCCTCACCATGTACGATCCTGAAGCTCAAGGGTTGCAACAGCCTTACGAATGGAGGTCGGGTCCTCTCAAAATGTGGATCTCGCCGCAGCGCCGCGCTCATCCGCTTCCAAATGTTGCAAACATTTTATATGTTGAAGACAAGTGGTCTTCAAAATGTGGCTCTCGCCTTAGCGCCTCGCGCATGCGTTTTAAATTGTGCAAAAGTTTCACGGATTCAGGACAGGTGGATTTCAAAATGCGGCTCTCGCCTCCCCGCCGCGCAGATCCGTTTTAGAAATCCGCAAGAGCTTCACGGATGGAAGGCGGGTCGTTTTCAAAATTTAGTTCTCGCCGCAGCGCCGCGCAGATCCGTGTCAAAATGTGTGCAAGAGTTTTACGAATGGAGGACGGTTCTTGTTGAAATTGTGGTTCTCGTTTCAGCGCCGCGCGCATTCGTTGTAACAGTTTACACATGTTTAGGGGATTCTTCTGGTTAGCGTCCCAGAAATGGTGCTCTGGCACAATGTCGGACTGCCAGGGCGCAAGAGTTACGTTGTTTTGTTGTGGTGAAGTCCCAGGAATGGTGTCTTGGCGCGATTCAAGAACAGTGACAGTGATTTCGCGACGTTGAAGTTCCTGGAATGGCGTTCTCGCGCGATTCAAGATCGTCAAGACACAACAGTGACGGTGATTCGCGGCGTTGAAGTCCCGGGAATGGTGTTCTGGCGCAGCTCCTGATTTTCGTACAGTTGGTATCCGACGCAGCATTTTTCTTCAGTGGAGATGCATTGTTGTAGGGGCCTGTGAAGAGGGAGCTTGGAGGGAGGGCTTACTGTAATATCGTTGATGAGTTTTGGGTTTCCACTGGAATCTGGTCCTCCTCTTCGTCCTTCTCCGCCTCCTTCTCCCTTTCGAGGGCCGTCGAGGATCGAGGCCCTTTGACGCTCCAGGCTCTGAGCCTCGGACGGGGCCTTCGGAGGCCTCCAGAGGCCGCCTCCTTCACTTCCCCCTCCTCCGTCTCATCCTGCTCTTCTTGCCTCCAGAGGCCGGCTCCTCCTGTTCTTGCCTCGCCCCCCCCTCTCGTTTGCTGCACTGCGGCCTCCATTGTCCTGCGTCCCGCACCGGGAATCAGAAGCAGCCCTGCCATCAAGCATTTGCCCGAATATCTATGTATATATTTATATATATGTGTGTGTATATATATATATATGTGTATCCCAGCCTTCCTGGGGTGTTGGTCATCGTTTTGGATCCGCAGAGCCGCCCGTCTCACTCCTCCTCTCTCCTCTTTGTGCCTCTTAGACGTGTTGCTTGGCTCCCTCTTCCTCACTCCGCGCGCGGGCAGTCATCCCTCGGCTCAGGCGGCCGAGGGTTGTCCTCCCGCCAATAAAACATGGGAGAGGGGAGCAAGGTAGGGGACCAACTCCTCCCGCCTCCCCCTCCTTTCCTTGCCTCTGCTCTCCGCGTGCCGATTTCGGTACACGCCTCACGCGCCTCGTGGCCCCATCGTATTCTCGGCACAACCCTCGCGCGCACCGTGGCACCATAGGATGCCCCCCACACGGTCTCAGTTGGCACGTCCGCTTTGGGGTCACAGGCATGTCACCACACCCTTCACGAAGGATTGCAAAAAGGATTGCAAAATAACCCTTTGCAATCCTTTGCAATCGTTTGTTTGCAAGGGTTTTTTGGCAATCCTTTGCACCATACCCTTCACGAAGGATTGCAAAGGGTTTTTTTTTGCAATCCTTTGCAATCCTTGGTTTTTTTGCAATCCTTCGGATCGTGGCATGGGGAGCTCCGCCTGCGGTCTCAGTGGGCCCGTCGGCCTGCCTGGCCCACGCCCATTTCAGCGTTCCTTTCGCAGGGAACGTGGCCCTATCGGGAGCTCCACCTGCGGACTCAGTGGGACCGTCCGCATGCGGGCCCACCCCTGTACGGCAGGTTCGTGTCGTGTCGACCAGCGGCGACCCCAGCGCGGGCGTTCAAGGTTGAACGCCGGCGGCGACCCAGAATCGGTCGATGTTGAACGATTGGACGTTGCGGGAACGGTCGATCGTTTAAGGTTGAACGATCCACGCGGTGTCAGAAACCAACGCTGGGGTCGGCACGACACGAACCTGCCGTAGGCCCATCCGCATGCCGGCCCGCACCCCTCTCGGCACACCCGTCGCGCGGGTCGTGGCCCCGTTGGGGAGCTCCTTTTGGCCCGTCCGCTTGCGCGCCGCGCCCACCTCGGCACAGCCCGCACGAGTGTCGCGACCCGACAGGGAGCCCCATCTGCGGTTTCTCGTTGGGCCCGTCCGCACGCGTGGCCCACGCCCATCTCGGCACACCTCCGTCGCGGATCCCGTCCCCGCAGGTTTCCGACGGCCCAGCGCGGCTGGGCGAGGGCGCCAGGCCGAAAATAGCAAGCCCTCCACACTGGTGCGTTCATCACGCTGGAGGTATGGGCGGAGGAGGAGGAGGAGGAGGAGGAGGAGGAGGAGGAGGAGGAGGAGGAGGAGGAGGAGAAGGAGGAGGAGGAGGAGGAGGAGGACGACGAGGACAAGGACGAGGAGGATGAGAATAGGACGGCGATGATGACGACGGACGAGGAGGACGACGAGGACGGCGACGGGGAGGGGGAGCCCCCTCGCAGCGGGGGCCCGCGCCCCTCCGCGCCGCGCCGCCCGAGGCATGACGCCCGTCGTGAGCTACTGGAGCTCCAAGGAGACTGGCGGGCGCTCTTCCTGCCGTGGCCTCTCTCTCTCTCTCTCTTTTTTTTTTTCTCTCTCTCTCTCTCTCTCTCTCCCCCTATCCCTTTCTCTCTCCCTCTCTCTCTCTCTCTCCCTCGGGAGCGTCCAGGCAGGGGGCCCGAGGGGGGAATCCTTGCAGTCGATGTCGGCGTGTGGAGGGATAAGTGCCTCCTCCTCCTCTTGCCTCCTCTTCCCTCCTCTCCTCCTCCTCATCCTCCTCCTCCTCCTCCTCCTCCTCCTCGTCCGCGTCCTCGTCCTCTTCCTCCTCCTCTCAGGGGCCACGGCATCTCCCAGGGCCCGTGGCCCCATCCTTTTGCGTCGGCACGTTCCCTGGCCACGCCACCCCCCGCCCGCGCCCCTGCCTCGGGCCACCATCCGCACCCGCCACTCCTCCGGAGGCCGCTCTCCGTCGAACCCGCCCGTCCTCTCTCTGTGCCCAGGCCTCCCAGGTGGGGCCGGCGCAGACGGGTGCCCTGCGCGGTCGCGCGGCATCGCCGATGCATCGGCGACGCGGCGCGATCCTCCGAGCCCACCAGCTCGGACCCCATCCCGGGAGCCTCGCCTCGATCAGGGAGGGCCCCGCGGACAAAGGAGAATGAACGAGCCAGGACTTCGCCAGATCCAGCAGGAGAAAACGAATAATGGAGAATGATGTTCCCTCGCGGCTGCAGTTTTCTGAGGTGCGCCAACGATCGAGCTTATTCATACCCCCGATAACGAGGCCTTGATCCTCTTCCCCCCCGTCGGGGAGAAGGGCCACAGAGCCACAGTGCTTCGAGCAAATCAATGCTGAGGCGTTTCATCGTTTCCAGTCTCGTAGGACCCCTCGCCCGGCCCCAGGGGCTGTCGAGGGACGCCTGGGGCTGAGACGCCGGCCCTGGGAGAAGGATCGGAAGAAGCCCGCCCTGGGGACTTGCTCGAGCCCCGGTGCCAGGAGATCCGGTGTCGTGATGCTTTCAGCACGGGGTCCCCAGAAGCCCCGACCTTGGCCCAAGGGCCTGCTTCTCACTGAAGGCAGTTTTTGACGGCCCCGCGGCCCAGCGAGGGCCCCAGGAGGCCGAAGAGTTCAAGACATCCCTGGTTCTGCAGTTGTCCACCTGTTGGAGGCCCGGGTATGGAGCAGGGGCAGCACATCGCATGCCTGGGGCACGGCCCTGTAGCGGCTGGCAGCCCCGAGGGCGGGCCGCGGTGGCCTGGCGGCTCCGCTGCGCGCCGCCGGCGCAGCGGCACCCTGCTGCGCTGCCAGGTGCGGGCTCTGCCCGTGCTCGTGCTCGCGCTCGCCCGGAGTCTTCGCCGCGGCTCTCCCGGCGGTCCGCGTGCGTGTCTGTGTTCCCACGGCTGGCCTTCTGCAGCGCTCGGGCGTTCCTCGACCTCTCTGCCCGCCTCCGCCGCGTCGCGGAACGCGTGGCCGCGACGCCAAAGAGTGTGTCCCCGCGCAGCGCGGCTCCCATTGGGTGAGCCATACGTCGCCTCGCCAGTTGCGAGCGTGAAGGTCCGGCGCAGCCCGCTCCGGACTGCCTGCCTCCGCCGGGTCGCGGCGCCTACGGCCGCAGCGCCAGAATGTGTTCAGTGGCGGCCTGACCGATCCCTGGCAAGCCGATCCCTTACGCGACTATCTCCTCGCCTCGCTCCAAGACGTGGGCAGGCGGCCCCGGGGGGGGTGTCCTCGACGGTTGGGTGGCTGTCGTGGAAGGGGCTCGTCACGGAAGGGATCGGCCCAGCCGCACTTGATGAGTGTGCGCGCGTGTGCTTGCCATGCGCCGTATCCGTTCGGGCCGAGGTTTCTCGGCATCGTCGGTACGCCGTCACGGTCGGGTTCCATCCCACCGTGTCATGAGACGGTGGGGTGCCAAGAACATACACCATGGGGTCCTACTTTACAACCGATCCTTGAGACGGTTGAAGACCGTTCGGCATCCTCACAGGCGCTCTGGACGGCTCCCACGCCGATTTCGTTGACATCCCCTTTTGGGTGCCACCTCGGCAAAGCACTTCGTTTCGTTGGTCGAAAATAATTCGCCCGAGCTACCAGCATTTTTTTCCCAGACCAGATTGCGGACACTAGATGATGTGCGCTTCGCGACAAAAACATGACATCTGAGATTGCCGATGCTCACCACACGGCATCGCCAGTCTCGTTGCGTGGCCCTTGGATGCCTCCGCTCCGTTCCACGGCGCTCGGACACGTACAGTTTCAATACCACAGACGTGCAGTTTCCAGACCACGTAACGCAGAGTTTTAGCACAGTCACAAACAAGACCACCCATGATGACTGCATGCATCTGGCTTCTTTTCCTTTTTTCTTCTTCCACAAGAGCAGACAAGGTCGCGCCCGCGTGAACTCAGAGCGAAGAGGAGGAGGAGGAAGAGGCGGAAGAAGAGTAGGAGGTGGGGAAGGCGGAGGAGGAGGAAGGGATGGGGAAGGGGGGAGTAAACATAACAATAAGAAACACACACTGAAGCAGAAGCAGGGGGGAGCAGGAGCAGGAGGATAACCAGAGGAGCGGGCACGGGAGGGAGGGGAGCAGAAGAGGGAGAGCGAATGGCGTAGAAGGAGAAGAGGAGGCGGAGGAGGAGAGGAGAGGGAGGGAACGCTGTAGGGCTATAATGTTTCCTTCTCTGCTTGCGCGCCCCGTTCTGCACGCGCCGTCTGTCAATTTTTTTGTCGCTACGCCGAGGCGGGCCCCGCATTGCCTGTTTTTTTTGTTGGCTTTCCATCACGAACGCTCCAGCCATGACGCTCAAGCCCGCCTAGCGTCAAAACAGAGGGAAGGAACGGAGGGACGTGAGCGGGAAATCGAATGCCGTCTTGCGAAGGGGGCTCGGGGGAGGTGACAGGAACAGCGGCAGGGCCTCGGATACCCGCGTGAGCACGATCTCACTCTCTCTCTCTCTCTCTCGCTTCCCCTCTTTCTTTCTTTCCCGCTCACCGCTTTCCTCTCCCTGCTCTCTCACTCTCTCTGTCTCTCTCTCTCTCTCTCTCTCACTCTCTCTCTCTCTCTGCTTGTGCTTGTACGCGCCCCTGCACGCTCGCACGCACCTCACCCGTGTCGACGTGCTGCCATCCTGGTGGTCTGGAGGAGATGTTGTGGCTGGACGGGCACGCGTGCCGCCTGACGTCGCAGCCAGACTTTGCCGACCTCGCCGATCCGCGCAGGAGCCGCTGCCGCATACGGCAGGGGGGGGAGGAAGGGGCGGGGAGAGATACGGCAGGCTCGTGTCGCGTCGACGCGGCGGCCCCTGGCGCGGGCGTCCGGGGTTGAACGCTCCCAGTGGCGCGGAGCTGGCCGATGTCGGGGGATCTGCGGTATCGGAGAGTCGCGGTCGTTCGAGGTTGCGCGATCCACGCGGGGTCAGACACCAGCGCGCAAGCCGTCGCGGCACGAACCAGGCGAAGAGATGTCTCTACAACCGAAGATGTTCCAGATGGTTGCCAACCTCTTTTGAGTCTCAAGTTCGAACAGTCCCACGCGCATGCCGCCCCGGGTCGTTCATGAGGTTGGGCAGGTTCAGGGCATGATTTACGAGACGATTCGGCGTACATATTGCGCCAGCCGCTGAAGAACATGCGCAGTGTCCCTGCCAGTTTGAAGCAATTGTTCTGTGAACATCGTCTTGTAGCACGCTTCTCCGTGAACAGTTGCCTGCAGCACGCAGGAAGGCAGAAAGGACAGAAGGGGGCGGATACGATAAATGCGGTCTAAAGTATCTTGGACGTGAGCGCCGCCGTTGAGTCTCGCATCCGCGAAACAATATGCGTGCACATTGAATTCCTTGAATCCCACTCGATGCATCTATGGCTGCCCGCATTCGCTGGAGCGCTGCACTATAAAGGAGGCGAGTACCTTAAGATCAAAGTCAGTGAGACATGCCCAGAGACCCGATGCCTCAAAAGAAAGCACGGGGTCCCCAGAAGTTCTGAGCCTTTCCCGATAGTCTGGGGCGTCAGACCCATCCTGAATCCAACAGCTCTGTATACGCCCTCGTGGCCAAGCCAGGAGGGCATGGCCTACACACCGAAGTTGGGTTCATGATGGTGTTGGCCAGGGGGCAGTGATGATGTATAGATGTCGTCGCCCTGTAGCTGGGTTGCTATCCTGAGCAGTTCCCGATCATCCTGAGGTGTTGGGTATTCGTTTTGAAGAGACATCGCTCCGCGTCTTCTCTCCTCCATCTTCTCATCCTTGCCGTCCCACAGGAGGGTTTCTCATCCCTGCCGTCACCTATTGCGGCACACCCCTTACACGTTTCGTGGCCCCACAGGGAGCTCCACCGAAGCCCTCAGGAGGAGGGTTTCGCAGGCGGCTCTTAACCATGCCGTCACGTTCCCCACACGCCTCATGGCCCCACAGGAAGCTCCACCGAGGCCCCCAGGAGTGAGGTTCACGGGGAGCCCAACGGGAGTCGTACAGGGTCATGTGGCGCCAGGGGAGTCGCATGAAGTCCAGTGGAGTCGTAAGAAGCCCAGTGGAGTTCTAGGGGGAGCCCCGTGGGGCCCAGCGGAGTGCATGAAGTCCACTGGAGTCGTCTGGGTATTATCACAGATCCATTGGAGACCTATGGGTGGGTCCTATGCAGACCAATGAAGTCCATGGAGTCCATTTGGCAAATCCGATCCAATGGATTCCCATGGAGCTCTATGTACCCCAACGGGGGCCAATCGACCCCGATGAAGTCGTCTGGAGTTCAATGGAATCCACTGGAGTCCTTTTGGGAGCTTTATGGAGTCTTACGGAGCCATGTGGCGTCCAATGGAGCAGAATGGAGTTTAGATACCCCGACGGAGTTCAACAGGTCGCATAGGTTTCATTAGAGTTCAATGGAGTCCACTGGAATCCCATGGAGCTGAATGGAGTCCGCAGGCGTCCTATGGGCCCCCAATGGGTTTCATCGGAGTGCAGTGAAGGTCAGTGGAGTCCAGTGGAGACCAATGGAGTTTACTAGAGTCCGATAGACCCCAAGGGACTCCATTGGAGGACAATGGAGTCCTTTCAGTCAACTCGACCTTTTCTAGTCGGTGTCAACGCTGGTAGATCTTGATATGAGTTTAACAGTGCCGTCTGCTCGGTATTACGACGTCCAGGCCGGCCCAGGAGGCTTCCAAGATCGGCCGTGAATAGCAACCCTTAGTGTTCCAAGTTGGCCCTGGAGTTGCCCAAGAGGGCCCAAGGATGGCTTCAGATGGTGTCAAGAAGTGACAGGTGGACTCGCAGAGTCCCCCTCAGGACGGCCTAAAGCGGCCCAAGACGGCCCGACGGCCCCACGGCAGCCCAAGAGTGCCCCAAGACGGCTCAAGCGAGCCCAAGGAGGCCCCGAAGAACGCCCAGGAGGGCCCCCGAAGAGCTCCATATAGCCCGGGCTCCCAGGATTGAACCGCAGCCGAGTGAGTTTTCCACAGATGATCGTCCACACGCGCGCTGCGTCTCCATAACATTTGGCCGCATGCACTTCTTGGGCAGGGGGCGGCGGTGGTTTGCCGCAGACGTCTTCGATGACCTTGCTCATGTTTCTGATCCTCGCGCTCCTCAACCTTTCCTAATGATTCCTCTCGCTTCCCCCATCGCATTCCCATCGCTCTTACGACTGCATGTTCTTCCTCTTCTCCTGCTCCCTCGTCCTTTTCCATGTGCCTTCTCGTACTGTTCCAAGTGATCACACGAGCCAGCCAGCAGGACCTTCAGACCGTCAACGTTAGTCCTCCCCTTGAGGATGTCTTTGTTTGTTTCGCTAATTTGAGGGTCTCTGATTCCTCGCCTACTGTGGCTCGACGATGCCCCTGTGAGAGGCCAGCAGGCCAGCGATCTTTTGACAAGACCTTAGGGTGACCCTCAGACACCATCGACATCCTGCGCTTCTGGAGTATCATGGCACAGTCACTCTTCAGCCTTATGCCTTTTCACTCGAGCTGGCTACAACTTGAGTGCACGAGGAGGAGGAGAAGGAGCTTGACCGGCCATTATCAGGTAGCATCTTCGGCGCGGAAGCAGCGAGAAAGCGCAGCACGTGTCGCCGATGTTCGATCCTGTATTTTCCAATGTCCACCTCGTGCTCCAAAACACGTCATGTCCCAGCCCGCTGTCCAGGCTGTCTTCCCTGAAACTGCGTCGTCCTGTCTACAACCTCTGCCGAGGCAGTTAGAGGAAAGACAACCTTGGACACTCCCCTGGAGTGGGGCGGCAAAAGAGCACCAACGATCAGCCTGCTTTTGTGTGTGTGTGTGTGTTTGTGTTTGTGGGTTGCCTGCGCCGCGCCGCCGCGCGCGTGGCCTCGACGTTAAAACACGTGTTCGTTTGTGTGTGTGTATGTGTGTCCGCACCATGCTCAGCGCGCGGCTGCATCCAAGGCTGCCCACCTGGGGCCAGATCACATCGGGCCGGAGGGCCAGCGCCGCACCGCCGAGATGCATCGGCGACACGCCACGATCCAGAGCCCGACTTGCTCCAGGATCGACGTCCCCGACGCCTCGCCGATGCATCGGCGATCCGGTGCGGTCCGCCGGCCACGTCTGCTCTGGCCCCGTCGGGGCAGTCTCCATGCAGAGGGTGCGATGATGCACGGCGCACGAGCGAGGCTGGTGAGAAAGTTGGGGGTCGTCGTAGACGTAGGTAGCAAGCAGGGCGGCACGCAGTAGCAGGAAGGGGATGCAGGGGGAGAAGGAGGAAGCCCAGAGCAAGGACGGCTCGGCAGTGTTGGGGGACTGTTCAGATCTCGATTACGGCTTCTGGGGGCCCGTTCGGATTTCAGGACCGTCAGAATATGGCCCTGGATGAAGAGCTGTCCCAAGGCAAGGGTCGAGGGCTCTTGGGACCCCGTGTATTTGACACCGACAAGCGCGCACATGCGCCAGGGACCCATGCATCCTGTCTCAACAGGTGCATTTTCTGAAGTCTGCCTGGGCCAGTCCACCGCAGCCGCTCGCATTGATCCACCTCTCTTCCATAGAGCATCAGCTTTACTTGCTCCCCGTAAGTTGTTACCGCCGAGCTATGAAGGAGCTCTGGTGCTAACGTGGACAACTGCACCAAAGAGAAGCCGTGCAACCTGGAAGGGCGGCTCCGCACGGCAAAGGGAGAACCGAGATTTGAACGCAGTACCAGCCAAGCGGAGGCACGAGGAGGCATCCCATGGCAGACTAGCGTACTTGCAGCTTCAACGCGCAACCTATGCTTCGCACCAGCTCCCAGGTACCCATCCACCCATACACACGGCGTCCTATGCTGCCCATCCTCTCCTCATCACGATCGATTTTTTCCCCACAAGGAGAGGTCTGCAGGAGACCTCTCCCGAATCCCGGGCAAGTCTGCAGAAGACCTCTCAGATTACAAATATGCGTGTCTGTTCGGAATTTCCTCCCTGCCTTTCCCCCCTCTCCAATTCCCCCGGCCACCGAAGATCCACTTGTTTTGAGACGCAAGCCTCTGTACCTCTCGACGACCACGACGACTACGACATCGACTTCGATGACGAGAAGAACGACATCGACTCGACTTCGACTACAATGGCAACGACGTCCTTCCGACCAGCAGGCCTGAGGCGACACCAGCTTACATGTTTGTCGTGTCGTCAGAGTCACAGTAGTGAGCCACCGGCACGCGTGCGCTTTGATTGGGCCACAGCTACTTGGCAGCCCCAGCTCTTGCTCCAGCCAGAGACTGGCAGTCAAGCGCTCGACTTCTTCTTCAGCGCCCCCTCCGATTCGAGGCCGAAAGATGTTGGACATGCTTGTGGACTGCTCCTCGTTCCCCAAACAGTGCCTGCACTCAGGGGCTCGTTCTCCTCTTCTGGGAAACTTGGCCCGCCTGCGGGCCCAGCGGCCCCGTTTCCATCCTTTTTGCGGTTTTGCTCTTCAAAGAAAGGCCCGTCGGCGGGTCCAGCGGCCCCGTTCCCGTCCGTCGCCGCACCACATTGTTTGCACAACATCGTTTAATGGAGGATGATGATTAGAAAATGACCGGGGGTCGTGTTCACGCGCCGGCGCCCGGGATGATGATAGGAAAAAAAACCGCCGTCCTCGGGCGCGCGCCCCCCCGGGTGACGAAACACCGCACAGGCGAGCCCTGCTTCTGAGCGTTCCCCCCCGGTGTGGGAAACTATTTCTTTAATCGTTCCCCCCTCCTTTTTTCTTAATCGTCATCCCACATTACACCACAGGGTTTGCACCACATGGCTCATCACTCATGGCTAGCCCGCAGATATCACATCGCATAGCTTACACGGCATAGCTCACACAACATTGCGTACACTGCGTAGATTGATTAGTTGTCACCACATAGCTCGCACACTGTAGATTGAACACCATAGCTCGCCCCGTACAGCTTGCATCACATTGATAACGCAACACATGTTACACCACGAAGTTTGCATAAGATAGTTCATACCACATGGCTCACACTGCATGCCTCATACATCATGGCTCTTACTGCATAACATTGACCTATCTCTTGCACCACATAGATAACACAACAACGCTTTCACCAGATGGCTTACACTGCATACCTTTCACTGCCACTGTGCAACACCTCACTGTTTGGGGTCCACGCTGGCTATCATTTTTTTCCGGGCCTCTCGAGCAGCAAATCTCGAGTTTCTGCCGATCGCTCCCAGAACGCGGAACCCTCTTAGCAGAGTTGCAGAGGCAATTCCCGCATGCGCACACTTCCTCACTTGCAGGCAATACAGGCATAGGCCTTCACACGAGCGCAGGCGCCTTTTCCGATGGCCCCTCGGCCCCCTGGCCCGCAGCCCATCCCTGGCTCTGGCCGCCAGGGGGGGCAGCGGGCTTTGCGTGGTGTTCGAGTCTATGGCCATATGTATGTTCAGACACAGCTCGCTCGGGCTAGACAGAGGGGAAACGCTGATAGGGGTTTCCACGCATGACAATTTTATATGATCGCATCTGAGTCCACAGTCTTGGTTGATCGAGGGATTGCTGGCGACACATGGACGATCTCAGTGCCAACTGATATATACCTTCTGGTGCCTTCTTCTTTGTGGTTGCTGGGAGGACGACCCTGGTCGCTGCACAGAGTCCATTCAGTTCTACGGCTTCGCTCTCGAGGTCTTCGAGGCAATCGGGCTGGGAAGCAGGGGAGAAGCACGGACATCAGCCAGTTGGCCTGACAGGACTTGGAGGCTTGCTTGAGGGCAACGGGTCCCGGACCTCGGGGTCTTGCAAGGACCAGCTCTGCATCCTGAGTCGCGCCTGAACGGCCTCGGGGCCCGTGGGCGGCCCCAGGGGCCGAAACGGAAACAAAACGCCCCAGGCCCCGTGCTTTCAGGGACTCCGTGTGCTTCGAAATGCATCCGGAGGAGGAGGAGCAGCAGAAGGCAGAGCCAACTTGTCTGAGTCAATCCCCGGCCCTCACCCCGAGCCCGCGCGGGAGCTCGTGCGCGGTGTGGGGGGGGACAAGAAGGAGGAGGAGCAGCACGGAGGAGACGGGAGGAGGAGAGGGGATGAAGAGGGGGAGGGGGACGGAGCGGGAAGACGGAGAAGGACGGAGAGGATGTAGCAGCGGGAAGGATGAGGAGGAGAAGGAGCAGCAGGAGGAGGAGAACGACGACGAAGACGACGTCGACGCAGACGCAGACGACGTCGACGCAGACGACGCAAGGGACGACGGCGACAACGCAGACGGCGACGACGCAGACGAGGATGACTATGCGCCACCCTGTCTCGAACCAGCCGGAGGGGATGAGCTGCAGCTGCCCTCCTCGTCCTCCTCGTCCTGCTCCTCTTTCCGCCCTTCCTCCTCCTCCTCCTCCTCTTCCTCCTCCTCCTCCTCCTCACCCCCATTCCTATTCCTCCTCGTATCCACCAATCATACGGACCAAGGGCGGTTCCTTCTCACAACGGCGTTCTCACTTGGAATGTTCTCAACCTTGATTGCCAGTAACATGAGCTAGACGGATGGAAGGCGGTTATGTTTCAAAATGAGGCTACCGCGTCATATGTCTTCGATTCCTACTACTGGGGGACACGAGCAACCATTAGCTGCACGGATGCAAAGCGGCCCCTCTTCACTGAAGGGCTCCCGCTGGAGGCAACACCAGGCGTCGTTTCCAGCAACATCTTTGATGGGCCTGTTTTCCACCACCACCACCACCACCATAAGCTGGATAGGGGGGAAGGAGAAGGAGGATGAGGAAGAGGAGGACGAAGAGAAGGAGGAGGAGGAGGAGGAGGAGGAGGAGGAGGAGGAGGAGGAGGAGGTGGACGAGGAGATGGAGGAGGAGGTGGAGGAGGAGCAGGAGGAGGACCCCCTCTTATGGTGGTGGTGGTGGAAAATATCATGCACCATCTCTCCGGATGCAGGGCGGTTCATTTTCAACGCAGGGTCGCCGTTGGACACGTGCCCTGAGCTTGCATGGCCCCACCCCGTCGCATGGCTCGAGGGATGGAGGCCAGGCCTGTTTCGAAACGGCCCCCCCCCCACGCCAGCACTGTGGGCCCACGGGGCGGTCGTTGTTCAGCGGTGCGTGTCGGGACGTGGGAGAGAGGATGATTCCTCTCGCTTCGCGGGGTGCACGTCCAGAGCACCAGTCCATTCGTTGCGGGGCCTCCGGGCCTCTTGGGAGCTTCTTTGTGGCCTCTTGGAGGTGTCTTGGGGGCTTCGGGGCGTGTCGGGACGTGAGAAAGAACGATTCACTGGCTGACGCCGCACCGCCGACCCCCTGTGGGGCAGCAGTAGGAGTGAAAAGCGGAGTTTGCGGAACGCGCGCACTTTCTGGGGAAGCGTGGGGTTTCAGTTTCTTTGGGTGTCGTCGGGGGCGGTGGGCGGATCGCGGCTCTGCTCTTGGGCTTGGGCTCTCTGGGCAGCACTTTTGAGGCCTCTTGGGAGTCGTGTTGAGGCCTCTAGGGGCCTCGGGGGCCTCGTGGGAGCCTCTTGGCGCCTCGTCCGGTTTTTTCAGGGCCGTGTGTTCGAAATGTCCACTCGGGTTCCCCCTCTGGGCCTTCTCTTGGGGCCGTCCTGGGGCACCCCTGTACCGTTTTGGAAGCTTCTGGGGCCGTCTTGGGGCCCTCTTGGGCCGTCTTGGAGCCCTCTTTGGGGCACCTTGGGCCATCTTGGGTCGATCTTGAAGGCTTCTTGGGCCGTTGTGGGCCTGGTGAAAGCCCCAGAGGCGAATGTGCTAACAAAATACGCTTTCCCTCGGGAATGTGACGATGTTTGCCTCGCTTCAGGAGGGCCTCTTGGGACGCCTCTTGGTGGCTTCTTGGGGCGTCTTGGGGGCCTTGGGGCGTGAGAGAGAATGATTGCAGCGACTTCTGATGAGGGGACTCGGGGCGGGAGAGTAGGTTGTAGCATCGTCAAAGCCATGCTCCGCTGATTATGGCCCCTCGTCCTCCTCCTCCTCCGATCCTGACCCAGAGGCGATGTGATGTTTTAAGGGGGGGGGCCTGTCGGCGGGCCCTGTCCGGGGGATGGAACCCCAGGTGGGGAACAACATGTTTGCATCTGATGGGCACCCGGTCCGCATTGTCCTTTCTCTCTCCCCTGATTCCTGTATGGGCAGTGAACCTCCTCCTCCTCCTCCTCCTCCTTTTCCTGCAATGCTCCCGCGCGCGCGGCCGCGCGAGCGGTAACGCGTGCGCGGTGGGAGGAGGAGGGCGGAGGGAGGAGGTGGATCAGGAGTAGGAGGAGGGGTAGGAAGGATGACCCAGAAGGAGAAAAATGACCGGGCTGGAGGGGGAGGAAACACGAGCAGAGAGGATGAGTGAGACCGCGAGGAAGAGGAGGACATGATGAGCGGGGGGATTGGACACCCAGAAGGGGCGAGAGAAAGAGAGAGAGAAAGAGATAGGTCAGAGGTTCCGGGCCTCAAACAAGCGCTGTGCTGCGCCCCCATCGAAGGGAAACATTTTGTTACCCTGGAGGGGGTTCGATCCCCCCTCGAGGGGCCACGACATGGGGTTTTGCGCCACAGCTTCCGAAAATGTAATCTTCTGAATCAGGGTCTTCGCTTCAGCAGTCAGGCAAACGGCCCAGTTCGCGAGCCCTGTCTTCTTTCAGGCCGAAGCACTGGCAAAAGTCAGCCAAGAGGAGCAGGGGGAGCAAGCGGCGGAAGGCGAGGAAAAGGAGGAGGAGAAGGAGTGTGACGAGGAGGAGGAGGAGGAGGAGGAGGAGGAGGAGGAGGAGGAGGAGGAGGAGGAGGAATAGCCTTGGGGAGAGATGCGAATGGGGAGGCGTCGGAGTGGGAGGAGGAGGAGTAGGAGGGTGAGGACATTTGGAATTGCGCGTCTGATTCAACCTCTGGCTGGTCACAAGGGGCAGTAATCGGCAACTGGCTCCGCGAGACAGGCTGTAATGGGCAAAGCTGCGGCAGTGGCGCCAAGGATGCGGGCGAGCATTGCTGCTGGTCGCAAGGCAAATATGATTGCTTTTCGCAGTGCAGCGCACAGTACACAGAAGGAGGTGGAGGAGGAAGGGGGGAAGGGGGATGAGGAGGAAGAACAGGAGGAGCGGGAGCGGGGGAGGGAGGAAGGGGAGGAGGAGGAGGAGGAGGGAGGAGAAGGAGGAGGAGGGGAGGAGGAGGAGGAGGAGGCGTCTCCCCCCTTCGGAGGGCGAGCAGCTCGTGCCCGCGGACAAGGGCCCCGCGGTCGCCGCCCACGGCCCAGAGCCCGGCGTCGCCGACGGCGGGGAGCCGGCCGGTGGCGGTGGCGAGGAGGAGCGCGCGGGGAGGGCGGGCGGGCGGGGGTGGTGGCGGCGCGGGGAGCGGGGACCGAGGAGGGGGCAGCGGGAGGAGAATTGATGGGGGAGGGGGGAGGGGGAGGGGGGGGGAGGGGGGAGGAGGAGGGGGGGGGGAGGAGGAGGGAGGAGGAGGAGGAGGAGGAGGAGGAGGAGGAGGAGGAGGAGGAGGAGGAGGAGGAGGAGGAGGAGAGGAGGAGGAGGAGAGGGAGGAGGAGGAGGAGGAGGAGGAGGAGGAGAGGGAGGAGGAGGAGGAGGAGGAGGAGGAGGAGAGGAGGAGGAGGAGGAGGAGGAGGAGGAGGAGGAGGAGGAGGAGGAGGAGGAGGAGGAGGAGGAGGAGGAGGAGGAGGAGGAGGAGGGGAGGAGGAGGAGGAGGAGGAGGAGGAGGAGGAGGAGGAGGAGGAGGAGGAGGAGGAGGAGGAGGAGAGGAGGAGGAGGAGGAGGAGGAGGAGGAGGAGGAGGAGGAGGAGGAGGAGGAGGAGGAGGAGGAGGAGGAGGAGGAGGAGGAGGAGGAGGAGGAGGAGGAGGAGGAGGAGGAGGAGGAGGAGGAGGAGGAGGAGGAGGAGGAGGAGGAGGAGGAGGAGGGGGAGGAGGAGGAGGAGGAGGCGGAGGCGGAGGAGGAGGCGGTCCCAGCGACGGCTTGCGGGCCACCGCTCGGCTCTCCAGCGGCCGATTCGAGACGGCCGCTCGGGACGACCCGGGCCCTCCCGGGGGGAGGGGGAGGGGGAGGGGGAGCAGCCCATCCAGGAGCTCTTGCGGCAGCAGGTCCAGAAGGCCGAGGGGAGCGTCAGTTGTTGCGCAGCCGTGGTGCAGCCAGCTGGTCTCGCGCAGATTCGCCGTCGAGCGGGCTGGCAGGCGCCTGGGCGACAACCAGCGTGCGTTGGCCAAGGCGCACGAGGAGGTGCGCAGGGCGACCGAGGAGGCCGACTTTGCGGAAGTCGGAGCTCAAGGCCCTCGAGGCGAAGGCGCTGGAGTCCAGGTCCTGAATTCGCCCGAGGCGTCCACTCAGAGTTTGTCGAGAGCCACCACGGACATGAAATCATCTCCATTTGCTTCTGAGGTGGCTCTGGGAGAGGCCGATGCGGAGATCATGCGCCTGTTGTGAGGGCTCCAGAAGATCGCCGCGCAGGCGAAAACAGAGCTCACACGCCCGTCAGCACGGGCGGGGACGTGCCGATGGAACCCGACGAGCAGGCAGTGGCAAGGCGCCGCTTGCGTGGCAAGCAGGCGGCGTCAGCAGCCCCCGATGGTTTAGCAGCAACTGCGGCGGCGGCGGCAGCGGCGATGTATGCCCTAGGTAGTTTTCATTCTGCCTCGAACTCTCAGTCAGCGACGGGCTAGAACAGCCTGCGCCGCCGGCGTGCTGTGCGCCACGGACACCGTGCGCACGCTGCACCCGAAACAGGACTTGGCCCGCTACGCGAAAGTGGTGGGGGCCACCTTGATGTAAAAAGTGGCATTGTCAAACAACTCAGCTCTCCTTTGCAGGAATTCGTTTGATTGGCAGTCAAGAAGGTGTGGAGGAAAAGGAGGAGCAGGAGGAAAGCGAGGGAAGCAATGGGGAGATGGAAAAGAAAAGGGAGGAGAAGGAGGAGGAGGAGGAGGAGGAGGAACATGTGTTATTGCGCTTTGGGGCGTTCTCGGGCGGAGTGTTGCTTTCCAGCCGCTGACCCACTCTCGTCGACAGCATTCCGCGGAAACCTCCTCCTCCTCCTCCTCCTCCTCCGTCTCGTCTCCCCTGGCACAGCGGATCAGGAAGAGACTGGGCACCGAAGGTCCGGAGGCAGACGTACGCGATGCCCTCCGAGAGCGTAAAAACACCGAATCTCAAGATGAGTGATGTTGGCGGCCCAAAGGTACACTGGAGGTTGCGCCCAGCAACAATGAAGCCTGAGCGTCCAGGGGCGCATCAGTGTTCTCCAAAACAAAAAGAACAGCAGCACACACACACATACACACACACACACCCGCGCGCGCGCCCGATCCCAACCGTCGTGATTGCTGCTGTTTGCCCCAGGGCGCACAAATTATTAGGAACCAAACGAATTGTCAAACATCTTGCAACATGTGTTTCAACAGGACAAATGTTGCACATTATTCTGTCGAAGGATTCGGGGCCAACAAGCCTGCCAGTGATCCCGTATTACCCTTAGTTTCCGCTGCTTCGCTTTCTGGGAAGCTCAATCCGGATAGCGACGCAGTCCAAAGCGCGTGAAACGTCTCTGAGAGACGCTTGCAAAGACGCTTGAAATGATGTCGGGGGAGCTTGCAAGCTCCAGATTTTAGCGTCCACTTGGGGCGTCCAAAACCCAGATAGCGTTGCAGTCCAAAGCGCGTGAAGCACCTGCCGAAGACACCTGCATGGACGTTTGAAGGGATGCCTGGATGTCCCTCGCACTGTGGAAGTCACAGACGCGAGCACACGCCAGTCGCAGCTAGATTAGCAAATTCTGGATCTATGAAAGGAGGACGGAGAAGCAGTAAAACGAAGCGGGCGTCGCGGCGCCTCGAGGCATCGGCCAGCACCCCAGCGCCGCGCAGGCCCAAGCGCAGACCTCCTCCTCCGCGTCCTGAATGCCTTCAAGGCGAGGGGTGCCTCGGCCCAGGCCCGAAGGCCCCTGGAGGAGGAGGAGGAGGAGGAGGAGGAGGAGGAGGAGGAGGAGGAGGAGGAGGTGGAGGAGGAGGAGGAGGTGGCGCCCTGGGAGCACCCTGGTGGGCGCCGGCTGTGGAAGGCGAGACGCTGCGGCCTCGAGCTCAGCAGGGAGGGGGGCGGCAGGGCGGCGGGGGCCCCCCGAAGGGGAAGGAGCTCTCTTCTTCCTCCTCCTCCTCCTCCTCCTCCTCCTCCTTCTCCTCCCTGTCCTCTCCCTCCCCACTTCCCCCCTCCTCGCCGCAATGCCCGCCCACGCGCAGCCCGCGGACGACGACGACGACGACGACGACGACGACGACGACGGCGACGGCGACGGCGACGACGACGATGGAAGCGACGTCGCGATGAGAACGACGACGACGACGACGACGACGACGACGACGACGACGACGACGACGGCGACGGCGACGACGACGACGACGACGACGACGACGACGACGACGACGACGACGACGACGACGACGACGACGACGACGACGACGACGACGACGACGGGACGACGACGACGACGACGACGACGACGACGACGACGACGACGACGACGACGACGGCGGCGGCGGCGGCGGCGACGACGACGACGAGGGGGAGGGCAAGCGGGGTGGCCTTCGAAAGGAACAGCGCCTCTTGGTAGGCTGCATGCCTAAGACGCCGACTCAGAGCCTTCGAAAGTGGCAGACCTTCCAGGAAGCCATTGCCTTCTTTCAAGTTCGCAACGTTCGCATCACGCAAGTTGCTCGCCCCCTCGGACGTCTCGGGAGAAACCCTCGCATCACCCCCTTCTGCGCCCCGCCAGCTCACGCCGAGTTGCAACCCGGAGCTCCGTGGAGGCCTCCGTGGAGGCCCAGAAAGGCGCGAACATGTATATATACACACATATTTATATATATGTATCGTTGATAATTCTCCTCCTCCTGATCAAGAAGGTGCTGCTCGGGACCTCTGGAGGCAGCCGGGGTGCCAAGGAAGGAAGACGCCAGAAATTGTCGATCTTCGATCCTCCCCCTCCTTTTCCTCTTCCTGCCGGGCGCAGCCGTAAACGGAGCAGGAGGAGAAGGAGGAAGAGAAGGAGACGGAAAAGGAGAAGTAGTTGGGAGGACATCGCTGGGACCTCCACCGCTGGCTCCTGCAGCCCAGTCCTCCAGGAATATCTGGCAGGCCTCGGATCGCTCTCAGAGAGTGCCACGACGCTCTATAGCAGCCGCGGAGCCCGACGCGTCCTCTGGCAGTTCTTTAAGAATCCCGAGTGCACGCCGGTCGCTGGAAGTAGGTATTTCTGGATTCCCAGATCCCAAATCTATTTCCAGCGCCTTCCTATTTCAAGAGCCGGCATGCTTGTGCTGTGTTTTGTTATTTTCTGGGGTGGGCTGAACCCCACCTACTTTATCCGCCTTCCTGCTTCATATCTTTACCTACTTCTCCTGACCGCCATGTAATCTCGATCCGTGTTCCAATTTGCCTTCGTGTTTCGGGCGTTGCCAGACAGGCCCCCGGCCCAAGGTGGCACCAGCTTTCCCAGGGAGGCGCAGATGGCTGCCAGATTACCCCATCACGAGGCCCAGAGGGCCCAGAAGGTCCAAAGTGGAGCGAAAAGCTGGGAGCACCATGGGCCAGCACCACATATAGCAACCCCCGAGCCCTGGTAGAGGTGGAGGGTGGAGGGGGTAGCCTGTGCCCGAGGACGACGACGGTTTCGATGGGGAGAAGCTCTTCCAGGATAAGGACGACGACGACAACTGGTGGCCCTCTGACAGCGAGGACCAGGCTGCCCGCCGGCCGGCCGCGCGCACCCTGAAGAAGTCACATGGGAACTTCTTGGAGCGAGCGAGAGCGTGCGAGAGCGCGTGGAAGCGCACCAGAACACGCAGGAATTCAGGAACCTGGGCCTCTCTCGGTTGCGGTTGGCACATGTGCATATACATATACATATTTACCTATATATATATATATATATATATATATATATACATATATAACATACATGTATGTGTACATATGTGTATACAGATGTGTATATATAGGTATGTAAACAAACATATCTATATGTGTAGAGATGTTGACAGATAAACGAGTACGTTTAAACATCGGCGCAGCTACACACGTAAACGTGTATATGTAAATGCACACAGGTGTGTATACATATACATATATATATATATATATATATATATGTATATAGAGATAGGTTAACAGAGTACTGCGAGGGCCTTACGGCTCATGCCGCCGACCCTGAAGGGAGACGACGAACACGACGACGGCGACGAAGACGACAACGCTCGCCTGCCTTCCTGGGGGCCCTTGGGGGCCCTGTTGGCCTCAGGAACCCCACCCCAGGACCCCCACCCAGCGGGAACGGGATCAAGGGACCCCACCCCCGGCGATCCCCTCCGGGGGCCTCCCCCCCGGCGGGAACGGGCTCCAGGGCCCTCCTCTCGACTCGATTGGTGTTCCCCCTCCTGCGGCCCTGTGGGGCTCCCTTGGGCCGTGTGGGTCAGAGGGGAGGGGTGGTCACGACCCGTGGGGCCCCCTCCCCTTCAGCCGGAGCGTTCCAGGGAGGGCCTCGCCTACGGCGCACCCCTTGCCCTGTGCGGAAGCGCCGGCGGACAAGCCAAGAGGGCGGCGGGTCCGCCGTCGGAAGGCTGGCGGAAGCAAAGGCCAGACGTCCACGTTCTCGGATCCAGGGTTTTCATAAACCATATATATATATATATATGTACGTGCCTCTATGTTATACTGTTATAGGTATAGTTATGCATGTATGTGCGGTTGTATGTGCGATTTCGCACGCGAAAGTAAACACGGGATGCGCCGCGCAGTTCTTCGTGGTTGCTGATGAATCGCTTGCCGTTTCTCGCGCGGCAGAGTGAACGAGTGGTTGCAGGGACAAAGTCAGAAAGAGGTCTCGCATATGGCCGTGTCGTCGAAACAACGTGAATGTCGAAAGGGGGATCATTATTTCTTTTAATTTTGTGCTGCTGAATCATCGGAAGTCCCGCCGCGGCACCTTCTGGGTCGTTGGTGGTGCGGAGGGAAGGGGGGCATTCAGTCAAAATGCGGATTGTGGCCAACAGGAGTAGGAGTGGGACTTGTCGTAGGAGTTGGGAGGAGGAGGAGGGAGGAAAGAAAACAGGGAGGCCGAGAAGGGGAAGGGGCTGAGGAGGAGGAGGAGGAGCAGCAGGAGGAGGCAGAAGGCGATGTGCTGTGACTCAGCGCCTGCCCGCCCCAACACAAGTTCCCGACACTCCGCCCCATCAGTCGGCGGCATCACCATAATCCCGCGGGTTCGCCAGGTGTTTCTTCTTTTTTTCTTCTTGATTGCAGTGAGCATTGATCAGTGAATTTTGAATATTCCATGCCTGCTTCCTCGACATCCCGACCATAGTATCTTTCATCCGGCAGCAGTAGGATTGGCACCAGTGATCTCATGCAGGAAGTCCCACTTGGCACCATGATTAGCGACACAGGCCGCGGTCACCGACTTCGGGTGGGATGCCGCTGACGTCAACACGACCGCAGCGCCCACGACAACGAGCGCCCAGCCTGCTGAGCAGGCGGTGGAGTCCCCCGCCCCGCTGCTGGAGTTTTACATGTACCGCGCAAGCAACATGGAGGATCTCGCGCGCATGTCTTGCCTCGGCCCAGCCTCGTCTAAGCGCAACGGGAAGCGAAATGTTGCACGATTCGGCATCGGGCAGTCGATCCTGATCTCGTCGGGCACAGTAGTGGGCATAGTCAAGCGCGCAGCACGACGGTACCGCATCGATCTCAGCGGTTCTCTTTCGCCATCAGTTCCCGTCCCCCACTCCTCTTCCGTTCTCTCTCCCGATCCTCCCGCGTCCACTTCTCGTCAGTTCAATTGTTCTCACCAGCCACCTCGTCTGGAGACATTTGGGACATTGGCCTTCTCATCGCGATTCGCCGCTTAGGCAGAGTTGTCCGATAAGTAGCGCACGTCGAGGACAGTGCTGCAAGAGTCCACCTGGCGTACGGGGTGCCCCCGCCTCAGAATTATTGCGCTTGCAGTGGTGTTTCGAGCGCTCGCACAGTGTCCCCTGTGCCCGTTGTGGCGCCAGCCATGTGGCGTCGCATTCCTCCGCCAGCCCATCCAGAAACGGTGACCTGGCGAGTTGCCCTGGTCACAAGAGCGAACAGTGGAACGAAAAGGGGGGGCCGCCGTTGAGCCTAAGCTCGGGATCAGCCTGGGCACACTTAGGAGTCAACCATTCATGCCTTCGCGGATCATTCGAAATGGGAGCCTCTTAGGGGCTGGTTTGGGCAGTCTTAGGGCCCTCTCGGGGCCATTTCGTATGCATCTGGGGTTTCCTTAAAGTATTCTTGGGGCCATCTTGCAGGACACAAATCAAGAAAGAGAGCGGAACCAACTACCGTCGCCTCCTCGGAGCCGGAAAGCTTGCCTCATGGAGCCCTCTTGGGACGCTCTCGGGCGTTCTCGGGGACATCTCTCCGCCCTCAGGACCCTCATCGAGGGGCTCTTTGGAGCGATCTTGGGACCATCTTGAGGCGTCAGGAGCCCATCGGAAGCGAAAAGACGAGACGACCAACATCATAAAAAGCATGACGTCCTTGCGGGTGCATTTTTGGGAGGTTCAGTGGCCACCTGGAGCCGTATAGTGGCCGTCTTGAGGCCTGCTGGAGGCATGCTGAAGCCATCTTGAGCTAGCATGGACAACATTGAGGCATAGGGTGCCACATCGGAGCCGTCTTGACCCCAGGCACTCCCGAGGATGCCATCGAAATGCAGCTTCTTTCAAACAGAGCAGCCGCCACATATTTTGCATGTAAGGGCGTCGTTCATCAGACCCCCCCCGTAGGAGAACGGCAAGCCGCCTCTTTGAGCCCTCTTGGGAGCTCTTGGGGCCGTCTTGGCGCCCTTACGGTCCCCTCTTGGGGCTCTCGTGAGGGATCTTGGCGCCATCCTGAAGGCCTCAGAAGCCCATCAGAAGCGGAAAGACAAGACGGCCATCATCAATGAACATCTTCGAACATTTGAAGGGGGGTGTCCTCTCGAGGATACCTTTGAGAGGCTGTTTGGCCACTTGGACCTCTCTTGGGACGGTCTGTGGGCCTCCTGGAGGCATGTTTGGGATTGTCGGGGCTGTTTCGGGCCGTATTGTGCAATTGTTGACATTCGTAGGGTCTATATGTGGCCATCTTGGAGCCAAGCTGGACCATCTTGATACTCTGACGGGTCGCGCCCCACCCCCACCGCCCTGACTCCATGGAAGGGGGTATGGGTCCAGTCCCCAGCGGGTATGCCACCAGCTGTGTCGCTCACTCCCGCCCGCCTTCCCAGCATATGCGTAGCACCGGAGACTCAGCATGAGCAGAGGTTGTCGTCGAATGGACAGCCATCGCGGAGCAATGCAGACGCCAGGTGCGGGATGCTCGCGAGGTGCGCCATGCGTGCCAGGTTCGACACGCTCACGAAGTGCGCCGGGTGACCCAGGGGGGGCGCGCCTGGCGCGCCAGATGCGCCACGTGCTCCACCGACTGTGCCACGCGCTGCAGCCGCGCCAGGTGCGCCACGTGCGCGACCCGCGCAGGGTGCGCCAGGCGGCGACGGGTGCGCCAGTACACGTGTCATCACACCTCGGTCAGCACGTCGACACTTCCAGTATCCCTTTTCAAAAGCCAGGGCAGAGTGGCGGCAGGGTGGTCAGCATGTTGTATTGTGTGTGTGTATCAGGAATCAGCTTGCGTTGGCTTTTGATACGCATAGTGGGCGAGCGCACAGCGGGCAAATATGGCCACACACCCGTCATCCTTTCCGCAAACCATGCGCAGTGATCGCGGAGTGCTCGCTCATCATCCAGGTTTTGCCACCACGTGCGATTTGTTTTGGTTTTGAAAGGGCTGATGGTGGGGAGGTCCTGGGGAAGCTCATGGCTCCTGGTGGACGGCTGGTCGATTTTAGGAGGGGGGTGTTATGAATAAGCAGCAGAGAAAACCATTCCGTGGAGGGGAAGAAGGGAGTTGGAAGAACCAGCGCCCTAAACCACCCACGCCTAGAGGGCCGGTGGGATTGCCCCAAGCAGTGCATGCACCAAGGGGTTCTTAATTGGCTTCCTGGCGGCCGCGAACTGGACCGCGAACCGAGACCCAGTCTGGAACCAAACCGTCCGAACCGAACTGGTCCGCGACCCGAACCAGCCGAATCGAACTCGTCCGCGACGCGAACCGAAGCCGCTGGACCGAAGTGGTCGAACCTACCCAGGAGACCGATGGCCTCCCTCCACCTGGAACCCTCGAGGAAGGATGGTGGAGAGAGAAGGCGTGGGTTGGTTTCGCCAGCGCTGGCTTCGCCGTCCAGTGTCGCTGGCGGCTGGTTTCGCCCGTCCGTCTGGTCTCCCCAGCCGCGGCCGAACTCAGCGGGGCGAAACCACCGGCCTTCGGCGGAATTGGCTTATCGGAAGCGCAGACCCCCGACGTCATTGCTTTTTCATGATGTGGGCCCCCGGGGGTCTCGACCGATTCCCCAGGAGGAGGAGGAGGAGGAGGAGGAGGAGGAGGAGGAGGAGGAGGAGGAGGAGGGAGGAGGAGGAGGAGGAGGGAGGAGGAGGAGGAGGAGGGGAGAGGAGGAGGGGAGGAGGAGGACGGCCCCGAGGGCCGAACAGGGGTCCCCCCAGGAAGCGAAAGGGAACGGCGAAAACCTCCCTCCCTCCTCCTCTCTCTCCTCCTCCTCCTCCTCCTCCCCTCCTCC